TTGCCAGGCAAGCATTTATTCCATTGAGCTATCTCCCTGGACCCTAGAGATTTCTTTATTCAGAAATTAATTCTGCTTTGAGTTTCTCTGTATCTTTCTGCTGTTGTTTCTTACTTCCAACGCTGTTAATTCATACATTTCAGCTGAACTAGTGTCCTCTGCACTTGTTCTGTGTGGGCATTGGTTTTCCCCCATATGTTTCTGTATTTGATTCTTAATTTCAGATGCTATGAATTCAGAGATTTCTTTTTTTATTTCAGGAATTAATTCTGCTCTGATTTTCTCTATACCTTTCTGCTGTTGTTTCTTTCCTTCCGATGCTGTTAATTCATCATTTCAGTTGAGCTAGTGACTTCTGCAGTTGTTCTGGGTGAGCTCAAGGCCTGAGATTGCATTTGCTCCTTGTCTTTGTCATTTTATATAGCACTGACCTCTGACCTTTGGTGTAGAGCTTTGGTGCAATTATAACCTTAGCACCTACTGAAATTTAGGTGCAGATCTGTTAAGTTTGAGTTTATCCAGTTATGCCTGGCCTGGGTCTAGCTGTTGTATTCAGCTCCTTCCTGCTGCAGCCCTTGCAAATGAACCTGTTGTGCTCCTCTGGCACAACAGTGAACTTGTGGTGCCTCTCTGTTGTGACCCTGGCCCAGGGGACACGGGAGCACAGAAGCACTCCCACACACTAGCTGGGCCTGGGCTGGGCTGGATCTGGGGGTCCCAAGAACATAGCAGAAGTTCTCACTCGGTGGGCTTGGGGGTGGGGCCTCCAGAGGGTGGAAGGGGTCCTAAGGGCGCAGCAGAGGGTCTTACTCATGTGGTGTGCCTGAGTTTTGGTCCGGAGAGGTCCCACGGGCACAGGGAAGCCAGAAGTTCTCCCACACACTCACTGGATCTGGCATAGCTACATCTAAGGAGATGTCTGCATGAATTTTTTCCTTGTTTTTGTTTATGTGATGTGTTACATTTAATCATTTTCATATATTGAACCATCCTTGTATCCTGGAACAGCTTGGTCACAATATATATGATCTTTTTGAGGATTTATTATGTTTTGTTTACCAGTAACTTGTTGACAATTTTTGAATCTATGTTTATTTAAGAGATTGACCTGTAGTTTTATTTTTTAGTAAGTCCAGATGTGTTTTTGATATAATGCTAACTTCTGGAAATTACTTTGGGAGTATTCTTTCCCTTTTGATTTTGTTAGAATTTAAAGAGTATTGATGATAGAGCTTCCCTGAAGTTCTTGTAAAATTTACTGGTAAGTACATTGGATTCTAGACTTCTTTTAGTTGGTTAAGTTTTTTGTTATTTCCTTCATTACACTGACTCTTAATAACTTCTTGGTTCAGGTTCTTTTTTTTGGTGGACTTGGGGATTGAACTCAGGTCCTTGTGCTTGCCAGGGAAGTGCTTATTCCACTGAGCCATCTCCCCGGCCCCTTGGTTCAGTTTTGGTAATTTACACGCATCTGTCCATTTCTTCTAGACTCCAGTTTATTGGAGTACAGGTTTAAAAAAGTAGTTTCTTATAATCCTCTGTATTTTGGGGTGTTCCCATTTTATTTTTCCTTTTTTCTTTCTTATTGCGTTGATATAGGTGTTTTCTTTCCTTCTTTTTGTAAGTTTTACTAGTGATTTGTCTATTTTGTTATTTTGAACAACCAGCTCTACCAGTCATTGATTTTTTTTTTTAGCTTCAGTTTCATTAATTTTCATTCTTTTTATATTTTCTTCATTGTACTAGTTTTAGGTGTTCTTATTTTTCTAGGGCCTTGAGGTGTATCACTAGGTCATTCATTTGAGATCACTCTTTTTCTGATGTGAGCATTCACAGCTATAAACTTTGCTCTTGTAACTGTTTTCATTGTGTTCCATAGTTTCAGGAATGTTTTACTGGATATTACTATTTAAGTCTAGGAAGTGTTTGTTTCTTTTCTTTGAATTCCTCTGTGATCCTTTGTAATCTGAATGTATATTGCTTAATGTCCATGTGTTTACATAATTTCTATGGTTTATCTTGCTGTTGATTTGTAGTTTCATTATGCTATTCTCTGATATGCCTGGGATTATTTTGAGTCTTTGGTATTTACTTAAGCAAGCTTTATAGCGTCATATATGGTCTATTTTGGAAAAAGTTCCATGCGCTACTAAGAATGTGTTTCCTATGGTTGTTAGGATAAACACTCTATAAATATTTTTAAACCCATTTGTTCTAAGGTATGGTTCAAGTTTGATAGTTTTTGTTGAATTTCTTTTGTCCTGTTATTCTGTTTGTGAAAGTGGGGTGTTGAGATTCCCAACTATGACAATGTTAATGTTTATCTGGCCTCTTTTGTCCAGTACTATTTGTTTTATGAAGTGGGGTACACTAGTGTTCTATATATATAATATATATATATTATATATATATATTTATCATTGTTATCTCTTCCTATTAATTTATTCCCTTTACCAGTACGTAGTGACCTTCTTTATCACTTTTGATCACTTTTGGCATGAAGTCTACTTCGTCTGAAAATATCATAGTACTCCTGCTTGTTTTTGAGCTCTGGTTGCATGGAATATTCTTTTTCATTTTTTTATTTTTTAAGTCTGTGCACTTTTTAAACTGCTGTTCTTTATATGCAGCATGCCATTGGATTTTTAAAAAATCCATTCTGATAAAGTAGCTTTAATTTTGAGGTTCCCTCATTCTTCAGTGAGAGGTTGTTCCAGAAACCTGTCAGGGAATTACTGTGACTTAGTCTGAGGTGATGACAGTGAAGGTAAGGGGAAGGAGTCAGATTCTGAATACATTTGAGAACAGAGTCAATAAGATTTCCTCACATTGAATGAGAAGGAGATGGAGCTTGGATTAAGATTCCAAAGCTTTTCTCCTGAAGAACTGAAAAAAGGGAGTCATCACTGCCTGAGTTGAAAGACTATGGGCACAGAAAGCATAGGGGAAAGTGGGTTTGTGAGGAGAGTACAAATACAGGGTTTAAATGTAATGTAAATTACTTTCAAAATTCCAGGGCAGTTTGTCTGCCTCCCACATTTGCTTTCCCAATCCCATGAATTTAGTCAGAATCTTACTAAACTCTTGCTGTTGAGTCAAACATTGTGAATGATTTCAGATCAGCGACTGCCTCAATTTTTCTGAACCTATATTTTGCCTAATGTATAATGGAAGGTTCCTTCCGAGGGTAGTAATTTGAGAAAACTAATTATTCAAGCTATGGTTCCCATTCATATGCAACTCCTAGTGACATGGAAATTAGTGAAATACAGTATTTTTATTTAAAATAAAATATCCAGGTCTCCCTATTACAATTACTAATGCACTGAACAAAAGTTATCTAGAGCTTAAATAACCTTGAGCCAGGTGTAGTGGTGCCCACCTGCAATTCCAGCACTCAGGAGTCTGAGGCAGGAAGATCACCATGAGTTTAAGACCAGCCTGGGATAACATGGTGAGCTCAAAGCCAATTTGAACTATATAGTAAGACCCTGTCTCAAAAAAAAAAAAAAAAAAAAAAAAAAAAAAAAAACCTTTATATACACATTTTGAACACCTGTAAGAATGTGTATCTGGTCAAATTATATAATAACATTTACATGGTATGCAAAACTAAAATAGTATTTTCTGTGAATGTTTAAATCTCATAGTTTCATCAAAAATGGAAAAGCGAAAGAATCTTAGTACTTGGTAGCAAATTAGATTCTTAGAAGAGAAAGATTTTAACCCTAAACAAGGGTACTGTCATCTTAATGTATCTTTTTTTCTGTTATTGTGAAGAGAGTGGAGCTAGCCTCAGAATTTGCAGTTTCCCACACATTTTTTGCCAGAAATTCAGACTTACCTGGAAGATGTTGGGGCCAAATGATAGATTTGGAAACACCTGAGCAAATAGAAAATCACGATGAAGTCTACACAGAAGGTAAGAAAATGCACTATTAGCTGTGATGTTAAAAATTCTTAAACTATTACACATAGTATGGCTTGAAGTAGAGAGTGGAAGCTTGTCTTTGCATTATTTTTTGTTTCTACCGTTTCGAAGATAATTTACTCTGAAATGAACTCCATTATTGCATGTAAGGGCATATTTCAAGCCCATTTAGTTTCCTAAATACAATGAGAAACAACCATCCACCTCTCTCCTACAAACTCATCCCCCTCACTCCTCTCCAGCCACACTAGCTTTGTTGGCATTTCTCCAGCACTCTGGACACACCTACTGTATAACACACCTACCCTTACATATCCATGTGACACCCTCCCTTCTTTCCTTCCTTTGCTCACCTACCTTCTAAGTGAGGCACTCAGGGCTTGTGGGTTAGCTCAGTTGTCTAAAAGTGCCTCTTTGGGCAGACTCAGTTAGGCACAGGTGACCGTGTGTGATCCCAGCACCACATGCCGCAACAGACATGCCCTTAAGCAGCCTGAGCCAGCCAAAAAACCCAAGAAGAATCCTAAGTGAGGCACTCTTAGACTACCCAGTTTTAAACTACAGTACCGACCAAAGAGGAACAGCATCTAGAACAGAACACTTTGCTCGTCTCTCAGGATGAACGGAGAGCAGAAATATGATGTTTATGCTCAAGAACTGCAGAATGTCATCCAGCACTTCCCTCAGATTGTCAGGGTGCTGACTGAAGATGACACAGGGCACCCAGAAATAGGAGATGCCATTGCCTGGCTCAAGGAGGTCCTAGAGTACACTGCCATCAGAGGCAAATAGAGCCGGGGTTTGACGGTGCTGGTAGCATTCCAGGAGCTGATGGAGCCAAGAAAACAGGACGCAGCCAGTCTGTAGTGGGCACTGACGGTGGGCTGCTGTGTAGACCTGTTGCAAGCTTTCTTCCTGGTGACAGATGATATAATGGACCATCCCTTACACAGAGGGGACAGGTCTGCTGGTATTGGAAGCCAGAAATAGGTTTGGATGCTGTCAATGATGCTTTCCTTCTGGAAACCTGTATCTACTACCTGCTGAAGTTTCACTGCCGGGAGCAGCCCTACTACCTGAACCTGCTTGAGCTCTCCCTGCAGACTGCCTGTCAGACAGAGGTTGGGCAGACTCTGGATGTCATCACAGCCCCCCAAGGACCATGTGGATCTCAGCCAATACACTGAAAAGAGGTACAAATCTGTTGTCAAGTACAAGACAGCTTTCTACTCCTTGTACCTGCCTGTTGCTTCTGCCATGTACATGGCCGGCATTGACAGAGAGAAGGAGCACAACACCAGAAGGATCTTGATGGAGCTGGCGAGTTCGTCCAGATACAGGAGGATTTCCTTGGCCTCTTTGGGGACCCCAATGTGATAGGAAAGATTGGCACCGACATCCAGGTTAATAAATGCAACTGGCTGGTGGTTCAGTGTTTGCAGCGAGCCACTCTGAAGCAGCGCCAGATCTTGCAGAACTATGGGCAAAAGGACACAGAGAAAGTAGCCAGGTTGCAGGTGCTGTATGAGGAGCTGGATCTGCTGGCTGTGTTTTCGCAGTATGAGGAAGCCAGCTACCACTACATCATGAGCCTCATCCAACAGTACGCTGCACTGCTCCCCCTAGCTGTCGTCCTGGTACTGGCAAACCAGCTCTATAAGCAGAAAAAGTGACCTGGAGACTACAAGGGCAGGGAGGGGCTCAATAAATTATTGTGTAGCTCTAAAAAAAAAAAAAACAAAAAAAAAACCAAAAACTACAATACCCTCTTTTCATTTCTAAACTCCTTCTCTGCTTCCCTTGACTTTTCTTATATCTATTTTTTTCTCTCAGTTAGAATGTAAGCTTTAGCTTTATGTTTTCCAGTTTTGTTACTTGCTATAGTCCAGCATCCAGACTAGCACTTGACACATGATAGATGCTCAAGTAATATTTATTGAAAACAATGAAGACAGTGAATAAAGAAATTGAAATAAATGGTATTTAAATATTAAAATTAAATAATGCTTTTGTTTTATTGCTAGCTCAGGAATTAGTCAGTGACTGGCTAGGCACCAAACTTCAACAAGAATTAGCAAGTGATGGAGAAGAGGATGCTGAAAACACTGTGTCAAGTGTCACTCCGAGGCCAGAAGCCAGTAGCCATTGGAAATATGACAGATTTGATGGTAAGATCTTACCTGATTGTTCAGTTTTATTTTCTAACACGTAAGTCTAATGTTTTAAAAATTGTTTTAAATAATAAATGATACAGTATTTGATTTTTTATGTGTTTTGTTTAGATTTGTTTTTCTGTTTATGTATTTGGTATAGGACCTCACTACACAACTCGGATTTGTAGTGATCCTCCTGCTTTTAGCCTCCCTAGTGCTGGGATTATAGGTATGTGCCACTTCACCTGGACTCCATCACTGGCTCAGTGTGCTCCAGGGGCAGGGCTGGTGGCACATGTAGGACTGGGGATCAAACCCTGGTCCCTGTGCTTGCCAAAGCAGGCACTTAGTCCACTGAGCTGTTTTGTTTAGTTTTATTTTTCTTGGTTAAATATAATTTCTTACACTATAGCCCTGACAAATTTGCCATGTTTTTAAGCATCAAAATATTGTTTCTTGTAATTTTGTTTATGATAATAGCAATTAAAAGTACTTCATGCCCATGTATCATTGGGTGATTATTTACTTTGATATAAACTACACTTAAACATTAATGTATCATTTAATATCATATTTTATTTTTACTTATTTATTTATATAGTTTAATAGCATTTTTTCCTAGCATGAAACATGAGAAAATTTAAGATAAATTCAGTCATATAACTTATACTTAATTTAGTCTCAGAAAAATTATCTTCATGGCTACATTTCAAAGATTACATATTTTTTCAGTAGCTTATGCTGTGTATATAATTGGTTCGACTATGTCAAAATAATTTGTATTTAATGTATATCACTTTTTGTTTTTCTCATGAATAAAATGAGATAGTATGTATCAGCTGCAAGTGTAAAAATGTAGTATGAAAGCTGCTTTCATAATGAGTGATTCTGTGTGTGCACACTTGCTTTCAACCTATCATCTGCTACTACTAAAAGCTCTTTTTTGGTCTCTGCCTTTGACCATTTTTTTGCTCAGTTAGGACCATTTCTTAGGAATGGCTCCACATCATTTTCCAATAATGCTGTGTTCTGGCCTCAGCTTTCTGATGCGAGAGTTGGTCATCACTGAACACAGAGCATCCCATTGAGAAGAAAGCCGCCACTGCTGTGGGGACCTTAGGGATTTAATACAGTGTGAATTGTTTCTGTTTCCATTGCAGCCTGTCTGGTTCCTGGCTGTTTAATTACAAAGAAAGGGAACTAAGAGAGAGGCAGAGGGAAGGGAAAACCAAAACTGATGATGTCATGAAAGTGCAAAACACAGTGTAAGATATGACTAACTTCACACAATTTCTACAACTTACACAGTTTTCTGTGTGCATAGACTGATGCTATCAATAAAGTTTAAGATAACATTCACCATTCAAATGGTACGGATTTAAAAGCCATCTTTTTTTCATTTTATATTTTAAATGATTCACATCTTTTTTATCATTTATAAGTGAGGTCATTACTTTTCTAATGTTTTTCTCCTACTTTTGTACAAAGCTAGGGTGACACAAGGTAAGTAGTTAATTTGTGAGAGCCCCATAAATGCATTCAGTGGTCTCAGGTTTTTTTCTCTGAGCTTCACTTAGGCTGGTGACAATGGGGGCAGCTCCCAGGCATGATTCAAGTTCCCTTTATGAAGTCACCTGGCAGCATCCGCTCATTCAGAGCTACAGAATCTCCAGCTAAGGATTCACGTAATCACAAGCTCGGAAAGTTAGAAAGATCCTTTAAGATTGCATAGTCTAATACACTTTCCTTATCTATCCACATAAACATTCATCTGTAGTGTGCCTAAAAAGTAGTGATAACATGTTCTACCTGGCACCTCCCAGGATAGGGACCCTGCCTCAGACTAGAGCCCTCTTAGCCATTGCGAAGTTCTAATCGCCGTAGAATTCTTCCTCAGGAGAATTAGGATTTTGACCTCAATAAGTTTTTATCCTTTGATGCAAGGGAAAATATGACCTCTCTCTCTTAAGATTAGTCTTTTTACCTTGGTGGAATTTTAATATGTAGCCAATTATGTTCTTCAGTGTTCTCAGACTAAATAGTACCAGCACTATCAACAATACTTTGGGGCTGGGGAGATAGCTCAGTTGAATAAGTGTTGTTTGCCTGGCAGGCACAATGGCCTGAGTCCGCAAAAAAACAAAAACAAAAACAAAAAACAGTTCTTTGTGTCATGTGATGTGTGGATCTTACCATCCTCATTGCTGCCTTTTGGACATTTTTAATCTACTAGTGCTGTTATTTTATTTTTTAGTGCTGTTATTAAAATGGAATGTTTCAGTACTAACATGTTATTGTATAAGTACACATACACAAAAGCTCTTAACAAAATCTAACATGTACTTCTGGGAAAACAAAAAACTTCTCAGTAAAATTCTTTGAGGAAAATACATTAAAAAAACCCTCTCAAGGAGAATTCCTTGAGAAAAACGCTTCATAAAAAAACTTAAGCTATATATAAAACAAATACTAAAATAACAAATATAAACCTACTTTATCATTACATTAAATGTAGATTTAAATACTCTAATTCAAAAGCAGAGAATGCAGAAAAGATGAAAATATATGGGGCCAGGGATACAGCTCCGTGGCACAGCACCTGCTTTGCAAGTGTGAGGTGATGAGTTCAGTTCCTGCTATCTCCTTCTGTGTGTGTGTGTGTGTGTGTGTGTGTGTGTGTGTGAGAGAGAGAGAGAGAGAGTGAGTGTGTGTGTGTGTGTGTGTGACATAGCTAGATGTTATCTGAAAGAGAGGCACACTTTAGACTCAAGACACAGATAAGTTGAAAGTTAGAAGATGGATATCAATGTAGTAGCACGTATTTGTAATCCCAGTACAAGCTGGATCAGAAAGATTGCAACAAGTTCAAAGCACTTGAATGAACTAGGTTACACAATGAGTTCAACTGAGGCCCTGTCTCCCCCCCTCAAAAGAAAAAGGATGGAATAAAGATATAAAGAAAATTGTAAAAAAAAACTGGAGTAACTAGGCTAATATCAGAAAAAGACTTTTTTAAAAAATAATTTTATTGAGAAGCAAATAGCAATGAGACAGTTTCAAAACCAATTATTAGCACAGTTTCACTAATTAATACATTGCATATTGTTGTCTTAGTGGTTACTCATTGTATGAGATGCAGATATGATATCCTGTCCACAAACACTATTAGAACAAATCTCTCTATTCAGTGATCCAAGAGAATGCAGCTGTGTATCTATCTTAACTGTTTTGAACATAAAGATACAAAGTAGTTGTTCATTTGTATCCCCATTTTGTTTAATTACAGAGAAGGGTATTCTATTGTCATTTAAATATTGTAGGTGCCTGAATTCAGCAAAATAAAAAATATGGAATGCTTCACAAATTTGCGTGTCGTCCTTGCACAGGGGCCATGCTAATCTTCTCTGTATTGTTCCAGTTTTAGTATATGTGCTGCCGAAGCAAGCACAGAAGAAAGTAGACTTTAATGTAAAAAAATTTCCAGTAGAGAGCAAAGAATTTTATAATAGTAAAGAGGCCAATCCATCAAGAAAGCAGTATTTTTAGTTACATAAATAGAAGCAATTGGGCTGGAGAGATGGCTCAGTGGTCTAAAGCACCTACTTAGAACAAGCTTGGCAAAGCATTGGGGACCGCGGTTCAATCCCCCAGCACCACATGTCAGCCAGCCCGCCCCCTGGTGGGCTGAGCTGGCCACACACACCTCTCTCTCTCTCTCTCTCTCTCTCTCTCTCTCTCTCTCTCTCTCTCAAATAAATAAAAAAAAAATTAAAAAAAAAATAGAAGCAATTATTTAAGAAATAACGAAAATGAGAATAATTGATTTTGAGCAGTAGTGTTAAATGAAGCCTTATTACTAGTTTAAATATGATATTTCCTATTAGAAATATATAGATTGCATGTGATTGAATTTGCATTTTGAAATGTGACATTACTATATTATCATTGTCTATTAAAATCTAAAATAGATGAAGCAAAAACTGACAAAAATTGAGGAGAGAAATACACCATTCAATAGCAATGAATGGAGATTTCAATATTTCACTGTCAATAATATAGGAAATCACTTCAAAAATATCAACCAAGAAGATGCTTGGTATCATGTCATTAGGGAAATGTAAATTAAATGTAGTATGAGTTACCACTACAGTACCTATTTAAATAGCTTGAAGTTAAAAGATTGATCATGCCAAGTATTGATAAGGAAGTAAAGGAACTAGAACACTCTACATTGCTGGTGGAAAAATGTGAAATTGTATAACCACTTTGGACAACAGTTTAATGGTTTCTTAAAAAGTTAAGCAGGCATGTATCATATAATACACCCATTTCTCTTCTAGATATTTCCCCAGCAGGAAATCTGTGTTCATACAATTTTATTTGTAATATCCCAAATCTGAAAACAACCCTAATGTCCATCAACATATGAATATACCAAGTTATGGTATATTCATAAAATGGAATACTCAGAAATAAAAAACAATAAACTACCAATGCCCACAAATAGTTGAGTCTGAAAACATTTGTGCTGAGTGAAAAGCCAAACCAGAGCATAGAGTGCATGGTTTAATCTATGTAAAGTTCTAGAAGTGCAAACTATAGTGACAGAAAGCTGGGTTTTTAAACTTAGTTTTATTGAGAAAGGAATAGCAATGAGACAGTTTCAAAACAGGTTAGTAGGGCAGTTACAATAATTAATACATTGCATATTGTTGTCTTCATAGTAGTTATTCATAGCTCAAAATGCAGACATGATATCTTGTTTAAACACTATTAGTACAAATCTTTCTTCTCATTGAACTAAGAGAAAGTAGTTGCATACCTATCCTATTTTGTTTATACAGATATATTTTTTTTCACTACAAAATGGTTCTTCATTTATATCCCCCTTTTTGTTTAGTTTTGTCAGAGATGAGTATTCCATTGCCATTCAAATATTGTAGGTGCATGAATTTAGCAAAATAATCAGTATAGTCCAGTAGCCCATAGTAGTAGTGGGTTATCCGCAGAACTGGCAATGTCAGAAGTTGTTGACTTGAGCCTCTTATATAGCTCAGCATATTAATATGGCTTTCCTTTTTATACCTTGTGTTTATATTTTTCTGCTGGATGGTTAAGACCCAGAGAAAGCAAGTCCTATATAGCAAAAAATGTAACTTTTGTATCTGACAAGGTTACTCAAAACCCCTCAGGATTTACCCTGAAACCCTGTACTGCACTTTGTAGATCTTTAGTGACAGAAAGCTATTGTATGCTTTACAAAGGGATGCAGAGGGTCTGAGGAGGAATAAGGAAGAGAACACACATCAGCATGAGGACACTGTTTGGGTTGATGCTTATGTTCATTATCTTGATTGTGGTGATAGCCTTATTAGCATATGCATGTGTCAAAACTTAGTGTAGACTTTAAACATTTATGATTTATTTTACGTCAGTTATACAGTAAAGCTTTGTTAGTAGAGTTCTAAAGTTTGTTTAGACTGAAGTAATATCTTTTAGATTTGGCTGTGAAGAAACTGTTTGGGACGTGGGTGAGAGTATTTCTTGATGAGCAGAACTTTTTCCTCTTAGCTGAAAGTAATTGCTGAGGACTGTATTCTTCCAACTGGCATTATCATTTAGTATTTACCAAATATAACTTTGTTTTTTCATTGCTCTTCATATAAACACAAATATTATATTAAAATTATTTTTTTAATTTCCTTTTCTTTTTGTTTCTCCCAGATTTATGCAGCTATTTGGAGGAAGAAGAAGAAAGTACCACTGTTCAAAAATTTGTGGACCATCTGCTCCATAAAAAAGTGGTGGATTCTGGGATGTTGGATGATCTTGGAATGAAGGAAAACCAAGACAAGAAGCAGCAGAAGGATCCTCGTCTTACCATGGAGATGAGACATAAGCAGGTGGGAGGGAAAAACAACATTAAAATGGATAACAGGAAGCAATCTTTGTGTAACACATTTAATAAGCTTAAATAAAGACTTAGGCTTTATTATGAAAAAGGGTGCCATCTGTGATTTGGTTAGAAAGAATAAAAATAAAATATAAGAACTTCAGATGAAAAATAATTCTCATAAGCTGAGGATAGGAAACAATTTATTGAAGAAATAACCAAAATTAGAATAATTGTTTTTGACCAATAGAGTGTTAAATGAAGATTTATTAGTTTGAATGTGATACTTCCTATTAGAAATATGTAGGTTGCCTTTGCTTTGAATTTGCTTTTTGAAATGTGACATTAATATATTATCATGAATATTCTGGTGAATATTATAAGGATAATTCTTTTCAGACAACTGAAATTCACTCATTTTGTGATTATAATTTGCAAAGGAAGACAGATCTGAATTAAATCTAGTTCATCTGTTTTGAGTTAGAAAGGCATGTAGGAACTTTTCTTTCTCCAAAGGAAATAATAAGTAATAGAGGAAAAGACTGTCCCAACACTTGAAGGAGCTTCAGGAAATGACCCAGTCTTTGGCACCTTACTGTGATGAAGAACTGGAATTAATATCTCTATATGTGTGTGCTGCCTTCTTAGAATTCTGACTTTGTAGTTGCCAAATTTGAAAAATTTAACCATGAAGGTGTGCCTGATCAGTGCTGGGGATGTTGGAGAAAGGGGGCAACAATATGATCCCAGTTGGTTGTGTGATGAAGGGGAGGAGAGAGGTTCCATGAGACCCATGGTCATTGCCTAGGTATCTCAGCACAGTAGAGAGTAAGGTAAGAGTAAAGTTTAGCACAATGTGAACGAAAAAACATTTCCTTAATTCATAGCTATAAAGGTTTAATAGGTTTGGGGGAAATGGCTATGCTTATTTAGAAATATTGATGAACTCCATGTTTTTGATTTCCAAGTATAATCCAGAATCACTAACACATTTAAATAATACTAGAAATGAAAGAAAGAGTTGTGGTGTTTCTTAAGGCAACAAATCACCATTACATCCGTTACAGCATAGTTGCCAAAAAAATTCTTTCTTAGATTATAATTAGAATGCAGGCAGCCTAAGATTTAAAAAAAAAGGAAGAAAACAGTTCTTGGGTACCTTGGACAATCTTATGGATGGGAAACCATTTCTAAATAAGAATCTAAAACTTGGGATCTGGCCCGCTAGACTCAACTTTCCTATGATGCAGATCGTTTCCAGATTGTTGTAGTTATCTTCATCTGCCTTCATGGAAAACTTCTTATGGGTTTCACCAGTAAGCAAATGGTTTCCCCTGTCCTACCAATATGCAGTGGAGCTGTAGGCCTTGATATTGTAAAGTGGTTGTATTCAGAACTTGCAGATGTGTTCTAAGGTTTTGCTTGCCCCTTCTGCTTGAAAGACTGGATCTCACCCTATATTGTAAGGTTAAAGAAAATCGCTTAAGACGTGAGAAAGAGCTGGAGTGCTGGAGAATGGAAAAGGTCTTGAAAAAATCGGCTTTCTTGGAGGCTCAGTATCTGGTGCAAGAAGAGAAGAAAAGGAAGGCTCTGGAAGCCAAAAAGGAGAAGGAGGAGATTCAGAGGGAGATGGTAAAGCTGCGAAGGGAAATACTCGAGAGGAGGCACACTGTGGAAGAAGCATGGAAGACGTAAGCCAGCACGCTAGGTGGTGTGGTAGTGCTCTTACATTTGTGAAATGTACAAACCTGGCAGTAGCAAAACATAAATGAGAAATCATCTGCGACTCTGCTAACTTAATAAGTTAATTTTATTTTTCCATGTTTCTTCCTGGGATTAGCCCCTTTACATATTTAGTTACATTTAAGTTGTTATTCTGCTGTAATTAACACTCTCTGGAGCCCTGAGGCCTGAACTTCATTGAGTTCATATTCCATAATTTATAAAGTGACCACCTATGCATTTTGCAAAATATTTTGGCTACTTTAGACTTTTCAGCAATATTTTTGTGTGTACCCTTAAGCCTATAGCTTTCTTATTCATTTGAATTATATTATTCGGATAAATTTTTAGACTTACGTTACTGAGTTAAATAGTATAGCTCCTTTTATGACTTCAAATGTTGCCACATTGCTTTCAAATAGGCTGAACTGTATTTATTTACTGTATTTCTGGCAGTGAGCCAATTTCCCACACTCAGTTCATTATTGGAGATTATATCACTTTCAGTATTTTTATAATTTTAATAGGCATTATATTGATTATTTTGCATTTCTTTTGTTGCACAGTGTCTTTCAGATGGAACATGTTTTCTTATGCCTACCTTATGTAGTTCAGTAATTGTTCTTGTCTTACTGTGAATTGTTAGTGCTTTATTTTCTGATAATCATAGAGCAAGTCACTATTGCCATTTTGCCACTGACAAAGGAAAAATATCTGACTTAAAAGGAAAATGAAAATAGTCTTCACAGGATGTAGTACTATTATCCATCCTTATGTAGAAAATGAGCTTCATAAGTGAGATATCTAATGTATTTATTCTGAGAAATGGTACTGATGCAGGAACTGCAGAAGTCTTGGGACAATGCGACTAAAGTGTCTGAATATACTCTTACTGAGAAGCCAGAAAGCCCCATTAGATAATCCTTCCACCCCCATCAGCCTACACAGCCTTTCTCCCCTGTGTTCTTGATTGCTCTCATTCTACCCAATTTAAAACAGCTCAGCAGTGGACGTGTGCTTCACTCCTTCAAGTGCCAGACTCAGGCCTCCTCCAGATGCTGTTCCTTTCAGAAAGCAATCACCAGTGTTTTAGTGAGCTCTTTCTAGGGTCAGCCTTGCTTTTCAAATTGCTCCCAAGCCCTGGAAAAACTAGGCTGACCTAAAATAAATTGTGCAAACAAGTAACAGTTGATGGTAGCAGGATGCTCTGTTCACAGTGGGAACTCAGCAAATGTGCATTGACCAATCATTTCTTACAAGCATTGAAATCTTACCCATAGTTACAGTGTGACAGAAAATGGGCTCTGCTTCTAGGTAGATGAGCTGATTTAAAGTTTCCAAACAGCAATAAATAACAAATAAAAGCACATACAATGGTATTATCCCTTGGCCTGAGAATTCTGGTTTTAGCAAAAAAGCCCCAAGAAAATGATTAAAGAGCCAAACAAGGAATTGTGTACAAAGATAATTAAAATAAAAGTTAAAATAGACATTACTATAAAGTTAGTGATTTGGAAGTAAATAAGTTTTTATTGTTGATAGGTCTTTATAACTGCTAAACTATCTGAGTCTCCTGTGTTGCATAATTTTAAAGTGTTTCTCTGAAGATACTAATTACAAAGGGAAAAATACAAGAGAACTTGCCTTAAAGAGGTGAACAAGGTTAAAATCACCAGTAATAAGTTAACATGTGCCCTCTGTACCATATATAAGAATGAACATGATGATGTCTGTAATCAGGCATTCTTGGTTTGAACTTTTCAACTGTAAAGTTCCAGAAAGACTAGGCGACTTGGCAGTTTTCACAGCTGCTTTATGGTCAGAGGATGAATCTTGATTCCTGACTTGGTGCTACCATTACAACACCATCAATAGTACAGTGAGTCCCTGACTCACCAGTGAGTTCCATTCGAGGAGAATATTCACAAGTGAGATTCATTGGAAAGTCTGACAGTGAGTCTTACACACCATGTACATAATGTAAAGCATAAAAAAACAAATGTACACACACATATAAAAATGTGGTAAGTCCCCAACCATACTATTGCACAGTACAGTAAGCACAGCAGCACAACTGTGACAATGGCCAGCTACTGCCATGATATATTCACATCTACAAATGTTGGTGATGCAAGGTTGGGTGATATCTATGAAAGTTCACAACTTCAGTGTTCATAAGTTGGGGACTTAGTTTTTATACACATGGCCTATGTAATGAACCATACTCCAGTAAGAAGGTAGCAGCTGTGAGCCTAGGGCCTCGATAAGGGAAGAGGATGGCAGAAAAAGGAGTAACAGAATGGCTAAGAGTTTCTGGCTACTTGCTTAAAGTTTTTTCTTGGTCATTAAGTTCTTATTGTTTCTCTTTTTGGATTCTTTAGAATTACTCTAGATTCTATTTTTTTTTAATAACACTTGATTCTTTTCTTTTTTCTAGAAGCTTTGTGATAAGAATCTCACTCCTTTCTCACTTGAAGATCCTTTTTACTTCCTAAAAAGAAGAGAAAAAACTTAAATCTACTGTAAAGAATACATATAGTTGTTTTTTTTTTATTTTTCTTGAGAACCAAATAGCCATGAAACAGTTTCACGACCAATTACTAGCACATTTTCAATAATTAATACATTGCATATTGTTGTCTTAGTGGTTATTCATTGTGCAAGATGCAGACATGATATCCTGTTTCAGACACTATTAGAACAAACCTCTCTATTCATTGAATTAAGAGAATGGAGATGTATATCTGTCCTAACTTTTGAGTATACAGGTACAAAATGGTTGTTCATTTATATCCCCCTTTTTTGGTTAGTTTTGTCAGAAAAGGGCATTCCATTGTTATTTAAATACTCTAGGTACATGAATTCAGCAAAATATTCCAATATAGTCCAATAGTCCATTATAGTAGTGGGTTTTCCATAAGACTGTTAATGTCCGAAGTTGTTGACTTGAGCCTTTTACAGCTCATCATATTAATATGGCTTTACTTTTTATACTTCATTTTCATACTTTTCTGCTGGATGGTTAATACCAAGAAAGAGCAAGACCTATATAAAAAGAAGTGTAACTTTTGTATCTGATAAGGTCAGTCAAATCCCCTCAGGATTTAACCTGAAACCCTGTACCTCCGTTTGTAGATCCTTTGTAGTGTCAGCCATGTAGATGAGTCACAGCCATTGCTTGACCAGTTTCTCTCTGTGAAAGCTTGAGAGAATGTTTATCTCTCTGTGACTCTCCTTAGGCACACTCTACACATAGATCACTTTCCTCTGTGGCCCCATAGAAGCTTTTTTCTTTTTCTTTTCTTTCTTTTTTCTTTTTCTTTTTCTTTTTTTTTTTTTTTAGAGCCAGGGATTGAACTCAGGCTCTTGTGCTTGCCAGGGAAGCCCTTATTCTACTGAGCCATTTCTCTGGCCCTAATAGTTGTTAATTCTCAAATTTTAAACTATATGTAGCTCAGTATTAAATTTAAAAATGCTTTACTGAAATATCTCATAGGACTTTCTATTTGTCAGAGTACTTTTAGCAATTTTATTTTATATAATCTATATTTATAAGACAAAAAACAAGGGCTCCTCCCAAAAAAAATCCCACTTAGTTTTAGAGCCAGATCTAAACATCTGTGGCTTTTATAGGAAAATTCATTGTTCATTCCACTACAATAGGTTGTCACTGCTCATTATTAAATCTATTACATATTTATTTTGAAATTGTTATTAATAGAGAAAAGAAAAAGCAAGAAGAAAATCTTCAAAAGAATCCAGATAAAGGAATGTTTCCAAACGCTTCTGTTCTTCTTGATGAAGAAAAAGTGGCAAAAGAGAAAAAAAAGAAACTGAAAGAGTTACTAATCCAAACTTTCAAGGAAAATCACCAGGTAGGTACTACAGTGTCTCTTTATTCAGCAGCCTGTAGTGTAAGTGAAAAGCTCATCAGAGGTGAGATAAACACTAGGCTCATGAGAATCTCATCCAAATGACAAAATTGCCCTACCACTTGCTGTGCAGTGCCCAGCTAACCTGGGACACAGGCCAGTGCCCTGATCCTGCTCTGGGCTCTTCTTTCTGTACTGCTTGTACTATGGCAAATCCTGGGTGTATCCTGGGGAAATGAAAGCATAAATGTAGGGCTTCTTCCTCAGGAACCTTCTTCAGAATAGCATTTAACTACTCAGGTATCACTGACGTTTTTTGAAATCTTTGCTTCTACTTTAACAAACTTCTACTTTGGTCCGTTGCATCTGGGTTATTCAGAAAGTATGAGAACAAGTTACTTGCCTTTCAGTAGCTCAGATCCTAAAGCAATGATGCACTTATGTCTGTGCTTCTCTTTCTATTGGTCTACATTGTGTTTTGTTTTTTTTTTTAAATTTTATTTGTGTGTGTGTGTGTGTGTGGCCAGCTCAGCCCACCAGGGGGCGGGGCTGGCTGGCATGTGGTGCTGGGGGATTGAACCGCGGTCCCTGTGCTTTGCTAAGCTTGTTCTAAGTAGGTGCTTTAGACCGCTGAGCCATTTCACCAGCCCCTGGTCTACATTGTTTTAATTTTACCTTTTCTTTTCACTTTTGATTACTGCAAAAATACCTGATAAATTTTTTATTGATGAATGAAGGGCAGCTGGTAAGAATCTGAACCTGGTGCTGATAATCTTTCATGTAAAATGAATTACTTTAAAGATTTGTGCATGATTTTATCATATTATGTAGGGACTTAAAGTTCAACATATCAATACTTGATGAAAAATACCTGTTCCTTATTATGCCTAAGATGTTTGATATGCAGAGAGATAGTGAGGTTAAGCTTAATAGCCTAAGTTGTTTGATAATAACAATAAGCTTGTCTTCTGGATGGTTAACAACCTAAGTTTGCAGACCAAAATTAGAGAAAAAGGAGGGCTGCAAGGAAAGCCAACATTTTGGCCCTAACCTTCTAAGGTCAATTAAGACTCAGGACATATGAGAACTTGTACTGTAACGTCATGTAACTCGGTAGTGTCCCAAATTTTCTGATCAAGGAGATTATGGGGCCAAAGAGGAAAGTGATTGATGATGTAGAGTGTGCCTAAGGAGAGTCACATGGAGAGAAAACACTCTCTCAGGCTTTCACAGAGAGCACATTGGCCAAGCAATGGCCGTGACTCATCCACATGGCTGACACTGACAAAGGTTCTACAATCTGAGGTACAGGATCTCAGGATAAATCCTGAGGGCATTTCACTGACCTTCTCAGACCCAAAAGCCACAACTCTTGTTGTATAGGTCCTGCTTTACCTTGGTCTTAACCATCCAGTAGAAAAGTATGAAGACGAAATATAGGAAATAAAGCCATACTGTTATGTTGAGCTGTGGGGGACTCAGGTCAACAATTTCTGACATTGCTAGTTAAACAGAAGACCCAATGCTATTATGGGCTACTGGACTCTTTTAGAATATTTTGCTGAGTTTACGTACCTATAATATCCAAATAACGGAACTTAGCAAAAAAGGGGTATACAGATGAATGTCCATTTTGTATCTGTGTATTCAAAGTGGTTAGGATAGATATATAGTTACATTCTCTTAATGAATAGAATGATTTGTTCTAATGGTGTTTGTAAATAGGATCTCAAGTCCGCATCTTGTACAGCAATTAACCACTAAGAAGAATGTATGCAGTATGTTAGTTATTGAAACTGTCATAGCGATTTTATTTGAAACTGTCTCATTGCTATTTGTTTATCAATAAAATTATGAAAACAAAAAAAGAAGTCTTCCAGAACTATTTCAGAAATTGGCAAGAGCAATGCAGTGAGTGTTTGAATGTAGGGAGTGTATTTTAAAGGGGATTAATGGTATTGTGTCTTTTAATTCATTAAAAATTAAATTTACCATAAAAAAAAGATTTGTGCATGAGTTGGTTGGGTGAGAGAAGAAACTATAGCATGTATATTTTCTTCTCCTAGAACTAGGGCTGCACTAGGACCTCAGGCCTTGCTGAAAGTAAATGAGAGTTAATAAAATAAATATGTGAATGAGTGAATGGATTTAATAAGAGAATATTAGGAAGATATTGAAGGAGCTTGGTAAATGTAGTGATAGACTTCTAAGGGCCCTGGAAATTGATAATAGAAATTTGAATATGATACGGATCCAAGATATGCAGAAAAATTAAACTAGTCAAAGTGATTTTTAAAAAAGAAACATTTGGGCCAGCCAAATAGCTTAGCAGGTTGAAGCACCTACAAGCAGGCACAGGGGCCAGGGGTTCGATCTCTGGGCCTGCCACTGCTGGCCCTGCCCCCGGAGTGAGACAGCAATTGAGATTGGATGTGGTGGTGCATGCCTATAATCTCAGCTCTTTGGAGGCTGTGAACAGGTGGATCACTACAAGTCCAATCTAGTAGTGAGACCCTGAACACCTTGTAGAACCTTCCCTAAAACTACCAAATAAATAAATAAATAATAAATATAAAAAAGAAACATTTAAAAGTGGCATCTGAAACTAATAGGCAGAAGTCATAATTATTTAGATAGAAACAGAAAATTGGTCAAAGTTTTATTTTCAGGAATAGAAAGGGAAATGTGGTAGGAGAGTGGATTGATTTGAGACTGATATTTGAAGATGATTGGGAAAGTTAGCTCTGTATCCTTCAGAATTAGTGTTTCCTACTATAATCATCGTTAAGATTTCTGAGAGGAAATAAAGAAATAAGCATGCATGGGCCACCTTGAGAAGGCATACAGAAGAAGTGCCAAGATGTGTTACCCAACTAGTGAGAAATGAGAAACACTTGGGTCCCATAAAATTTCAATTTTCATATTCTATTGAAGTTTACCATGCAGAAAGAAATCAGACACATTTTAGATGATATTTAGATAGGAATGTTACATTAGTGCCCCATCTAAAAATAGATTACTTGACTTTAAAAGGACATTTAATGTACTTAAAAGGGAAAATGACATTGTGAATGTATTATCTCTAGTTTGCCACACATTCTACTTGATTTTTACCTATATCCTATTATTTATTAAGCTTTTATTTTGAGAGCATGTTTGGCATACAGAAAAGTTGCAGAAATAATACAAAGCATTCTTAAATACCCTCAATTCAGTTTTCCATAATGTTAAAATCTTACATGAACATAGGGTAATTATCAAAACTAGGAAATCGTTGTAGATACCATGCCATTAAATACCATTAATTGCATCAGTAGACCCTTTTAGGAAGTCACCAGCTTTTCTACCAATGCCTGTTTTCAGTTGCAGGATGCAATTCATGCTAAATGTTGCATTTAATTATGATCTCCAGTATACGACAGTTCTTCCATTTTTCCTTATCTTTTAAGACCAAGAAAATTGGCCAATATTCTGTAGAATGTCTCTCAATTTGAGTTTTTGAGTGTTGATCCCTGTACACATTTTTTGGTAATAATACTATCCATCTCTACCCCTTTTTATTTTTTATTTTAAGACAGGCTCTCATTATGTTGCCCAGGCTGGCCTGGAACTTAACCATCCTCCAGCCTTAGCCTCCCAGGTAGCTAGAATTACAGGTGTATACTACCAGGCCTGACTTCAGATTCTTCTAGAAGGAAAATTATCCCTCCTCCTCCATTTATTCTTTCGTTTATTTATACAATTCTTTATTTGGTGTACTCTCATTGACATTTATTCAAAGGGAAATCTTCCAAATTGGCTCCTATTCCCTTCTAACAGGGTTCCGTCCTTTTCTGAGCACTTCCTGTGTTTATGGCACTACCAAAAGCCCATATTTATTTTCCCTGCCCCAGTCCTGGAATCAACCTTGGTTCCATTTATTGGAGAATGGTCTCTGGAAACTAAATCATTTGCTTCCTGGTGTTGAGGTGTCATTGTTTCTAGGCCCTTGTACAGTGAGTGTTGTGCGTATATACACATTGTATTTATTTCTACATTTGTATGCTTGCTTAGATCTAAACTCCGCCTACCCTTCTCCTCGCAGTACAACACAGGACTTATGTCTGTACTATCTGAATCTATGCTAAGTAATTGTGTATTCATAATGATATTTTCAATGCTAATCCAGCACCACAGGTTTCAGGGCAGCTTTTCTCTCATGCTCATTTGCAATTCCTGTCTCTGACAATGAGAAACCTGACTGTCCTTATCCATATTCTATTTACATAGTACTTCAGTCCTTCTATATTAGAAAAGTAGTTTCAAATTTACTAACCCAAAACACCATGGAAACAAATGTAGTAACTAGAAGACAATATTTGTACAATTATTTTATCTTAGCCTTAGTATTCAGGCAAATATTATTTTCCAAAGTTATTTGGGTTTACCCCTTTCCTTTCCCATCAGTGCAATTGTATTATCCCTTTGTGATGTAGGTAGGAACCTTTCCCCAATGTATATGAGTGTAAGTGAGATGAGCCACTCATTAAAAATCCTTATGCCAGACTTTCACCCTTTTACGTAGACTTATCTGTAGACAGGACAGTGCTGTAGTAAACCCCACAGCAGTAATCAGGCTCTCTGATTCCTTTATATAAGTCCAGTCCACATTCCTAGCCTGGTTCAAAAGGAGCTGTCCTGGGTAACAAAACCTGGATACTCAATAACCTATATACAGATGTAGGATGAAAAGCAGGACTGTCACTGTTTGTGTCTGGATGCCCCCCATCCCCCCACAAAGCTTCTTACAGTCATGAGGGATGGGCTTTTGGGAGATGGCTAAATCTAGAGTCTGTGATTGGTTTATGATCTAGTGCTGGGACTAGTGGGTGTGAGTGCTACACCCACCCTAGGGTAGGTAGCCTGTATACAGTATAAGGGACAAAAGAGGCTGGCTTCTCCCTTTTGCCTCTTTTGCACTTCTCTTTTGTGCCCTTGTTGCTTTTGGTGTCTTCTATTACCAA